TCTGTTCTCTGTCTCTGAGTTTTGATTTTGTTTGTTGTTTTTTAGAGTTCTCATTTAAGTGCGCTCATGCAATATTTGCATTCTTTGTATGACTTATTTTACTTACCATAATGCCCACAGGGCACATTTATGTTGCTGCAAATAGCAAAATTTCCTTCTTTTTAATAACTAAATAATTTTTGAGTATGTCTGATTTATGTTTTATTTTGTTTGAGCTTTACATAATTATCCAGGGAAATTCTTTTTAGAGTTGACAGGAAGTTCTGGGTGGTCTAAAGGTGTCCATTTCTCCTGGGGGATAATGGACAGGAAGGAAGACCATAGTCAATGCCACCTGAAGATGGCAGGGATTGGGTTAATCCTACCACATCGGATACAGTAAATTTTCGTTTTATTACCGCTTGGTTTAATGACTAAAATAATAGAAATAGAAATTTTATGACAAAATGAAATTTACCTGTTGACTATTTTGATGGAAAATGGAGAATAAACTGCTAATTTAGAAAACTCCATTTTCATTATTATAAATCATTATAGTACCTTTATAGTCCTATTAGCATTTATGAAGTAGCTACAATGCTAAGATCTATAGAATGATGATTTGAGAACTTGTATAGGTAATTATGTGTCTGAATTTAGTGTCATTATAATGTCAAAAAATGTCAAGGTAATTATACTGAAAAGTGTAATTTTCTAGTCTTTAAAATTGTATTTTGTTTGTTTTGTGCTACTAATGGAAATTGTGAAATGTTCTTGTATTGCATTACCATTGTGACAGTTCTTTTCAAAGATATTTTTATTCCCCACCCCCATATTGACAGTTCTTAATGAAAGTCATCTTAGAAGCTTTATGAAATATTTGGTAGCCAGAAGGTGCTGTTTCATAAATAAAATGTATCTTATTCCATTTAAAGTCTTTGGGAATATCCCAGTAAAATTACTTAGATTTTTTTAATATCTGAAGTGTTCATAATGCTTTGTAGTCACAAAGTCGATGAAATATACCACAAATTGTTTTTTATCAAGCCTTTATTCATTTTTATTTTTTAAAAGATTTATTTTTAGGGCCCCCTGGTGGTGCAAGGGGTTAAGCACCGCACTATGAAACAATCCACAGCCTCTGCAGCACAAGTTCAATTCCCCGGGCTGGCCAGGAGGAAACCCAGATGGCGCAGCAGACCTCTCCTGTCTCACCCGCTACTCCCCTCATCAGTGTATTTCAGTCAGTCTGCCTGTTCTGTTCCCCACTCTGCCTCTGGTGGATCCTCTCACCCCCAGCATCTCTGGCCTGGACCCCAGCTCTTATATGCATAAATAAATAAACCTTTAAAAAAAAAAGAATTTAGGCATTTAGGCTTGTTAAAAAAAAAGATTTATTTTTATTTATGCATACAAGAGCTGGGGTACAGGCCAGAGATGCAGGGGGTGAGAGGATCCACCAGAGACAGAGTGGGGAACAGAACAGGTAGATTGACTGAAATACACTGCTGAGGGGAGCAGCGGGCATGTGAGGAGAGGTCTGCTGCGCCATGTAGATAGCTCCCTGGAGGGTATCAAACTCATGCTGCAGTGGCTGTGGGCAGTTTCATAGTGCTGCGTCTTAACTCTTTGCTCTGCCAGGGAGGCCCTTGTCAAGGCTTTATATCCTGAATCAGAAGGCAATTCTGGACCTGTTTTGGTTTCTCTGTTGTTCCTGTACTTCATAATCTTAAACACTGCTCCTTTGTTGAAATAAACAAATAAAGTAAATTAAACAAAACAAATTCCTCCTAATTATCAAAGTGATGCAAACTTATTAATAGGCAATGAAATCACTCACTGTTCCATTTCCTGGAGATAACCCCTCCTACAACTTTAACTTCTTTTGTTCCAGAAGGTTGTGGCTTTATAATATTTGTTTGTAAACATGGCATTACAAGGGGTTCATGAGTGGGTGCTGGCTCCCCACTGGTTCAGTATTTTTACTTCAGAAGTGGGTCTTACTTTTCATTTCGCTTATTTACTCCTAAGACCTACTCAGAGAAGTAGAGTCAATTATTATATCTTTCGCTTAGGGAGATAAAACTGAATTAATAATAGGAATTGAAACATTCCTTTAGCTAAGTCATGCTGATATATGAAAGTTTTTTCAATTTATTTACTGAATGCAGAACATTAGAAACTAAAACATGTTCATTAAGACTAATGATCTTTTCCTAAGGCAAGATAATCACAACAGTATTCATAAGGGAATTCTTTATATAATTGGGGTCAAACTCATACACATTTTTGTGTCAGTGTTTTCACTCAACATTGCATTACCAGCATTTTCCATGTCACTAAGTATTTTTCAAACACATTATTTTTAATGACTTCTTGAAATTTCATCAAATTGGGGATACCATCGTTTTCTTATAACTACTTCCCTACTTTTGGATATTTTGCTTGTTTCCATAAATATTTTGCTGTTAAAACACTGTAGTGAAAATACTTATATTTGAACTTTTGTCCCTGTTTAAGATGATCTCCTTGGGACTATATGCTTTAAGGATCCAATAACCTTTTGATTGGTCTCCATAACTTTCAAGTCTATCCCCTGCCTATTGCTGCCAGATGACTCTTCCTAAAACATCTATTAAGTCACCCATCCCATTGCTCAACTACTCTCAGTCACTTCTTATTGCCTAGAGAAAACCCTCCAGATTCTTTAGCTTGTGGATTAAAACACTTGATAGTCTTGTTCTTTCCAATTTCTGTAACCTATATACCCTAATTACCAGGCCCTTTGGGGTAGCTCTCTTTCACCCACTTTAAGGACTTCCACTAATTGTTCTTTTTAACCCTCTTCTCTCCCTGTCCCAAACCAAACTTAAAATCCATTCAGCATCTCCAATGGCATATGACTTACATTGCCATTATACAAAATAAAGTATTTTAATTTATTCTCAAACATCTCAGTTCTTTCCCCAAGGTTTCTTCTCTTCTTCCAGTATATCTCCTTCCTCTAGCCCTAACTTTTCTAGAAATGCCAGGTGTCTGACTATCTCTGTTTTAAAAAGTTTGAAATGATACATACCAAACTTAACATATGGGAAAGAGAGTTGGGATAGATTTATGAAAAGGATTAGGGGAAATTTTCTGATTTTAGTTATATACTTCTGTAATGTTTTGAACTTTTTATAAGCATTCATTTACTTCTAACTAAAAACAATAAAAATTATATATATATATTTGTTAAAAAAACACAGGATAGTAAGCTATAATGGAGGAAGGGTTTATGAAATTGCTTTCTAAATTTTTAAAGCTGAGGCTAAATGCTAATGTGCTTCCGTCCTTGGCTTTGCACTGGTTATCTAGAAAGCACTCTGTACTCCATTTTGCTAGTTTATCTCCTACTCATCTTTCAAGCCTACCTCAATTTCTATAGCTTAATAGAAACTGCCTTGATTATTGAATCTCTACCAACACAAATTTGTATGAGATTAACTTCCTTGGTCTTCTCTATTCCTGTAACTCTTCTATTTTTCATACTTCATATATGTTACTTTTTGCTTTTTGTGTTTGGCAAGCAGCTATAATTATGGTGCATTTCTTTCCATGTGCCCTTGGCAATGTTACAAATCCTTTTAGAAGTTTTTCATCCAGAACATGAAGAGATTGAATTAAGCATATCTTCTTTTTTTTTTTTTTTTTTTAATCTTAAATTTTATTTTTATATTCCCCATACAATTGCAAACGCCCCATTCTGACCCCAATCCTTCCCCTCCCGCCCCCCACCCCCCAAAAAGTGTCTCTGGTTCATAGTTTTTTGTTGATTTTGATTTTCACTTTCTTATATTCATTTTCCTGGTCCCTTATTTAAGTTTTCTAGATTCCTGCTATGAGTGAGACCATCCGGTATTTTTCTTTTTCTTTTTGGCTTATTTCGCTGAGCATGATCCCTTCCAGCTCCATCCATGTTGCTGCAAATTGCATGTGTTTATCTTTTTTGAATGCTGAGTAATATTCCATGGTATATATGTACCACATCTTCTTGATCCAGTCATCTACTTTTGGGCATTTGGGTTGTTTCCAAAGTTAAGCATATCTTCTAATATTCCTCAGGTTCAACAAAGATTGTGATTCTATTAGATGATATGATTTTACCTGATAACTGGCTTAATTTGAAAATAGTTACTCTCTCTTAAAAAAAAAAAAAAAAGATTTCACTCCAAATCTTTTTATCTAAAGATACTAAGTAGGACGACTCAACATAAACAATCTATCTGATGCAGTAGAAAGAGTACTGACTTTGAAATCAAAAGGATCTGGATTTGAATTGTTGTTCTATCATCACTAAATTCCATTATCTTGGACAAGTTACTTGACCCTTTTTAGTCTTTGTTTGCTTGTATGTAAAAATGAGCTTAAGACTCTGTCTCCCTGGACCATGGTTGTGGACAAGACAATGCCTGATGCATAGTATGTTCTCAGTGCAAGTTAGTTTCCTTTATTTTTCATTGGCAACTTTGATTTGTGAAAAATAAAATTTGAAAAGCAGCAAATCCAAATTTATGTATTTGCACATTTATAGAGGAAATTCAGAGACATGATGAAAATGAATATGTGCCATGAGTCTGGGTAATCCTTGCTCTAACTGTGCTGGAGGCCACAGTTACAATAGCCTTGCATATTATTTTCCTCTTAATAAGACTTAGCTCATGGCTAATAACAGAAGAGTTATCAAAGTCAGATCTTTGCTGCTGTATAAAGGGCTGGTTAAGTTAGCAACTAAGAACCTTGTATCAACTTCTGTGTGGTCTCAGATGCTTTCAGGATGACACTTGTTGGCACAGTAGACATGGTGCTTGGGGTCCATAAGACTTGTAGGGATCCAACAAATCATTCTAATTTATTTTCAAACCAGAAAAAATGTGGACTTTTAGGAGGAAGAGAATATTTTTATATGCAATATTAATATATTCATCTTTATGCCAGTGAAATTGAAAAACAGTTTCTAATTTTTTTTTTTTTCCATGGAGGAAGGGTCCATGAAACTCACAGCAGCCCAGGATGCTCTAATGAAGTTTTAGACCTTTTCCCAAGAGGTGCATCTCCTGAACATGTCAGATTGAGCAGAGTTTGCTAATTTCACTCCTTCTCGAATGCGCTAGGAAAGCAAATTCGTTGGTCAGAGACCCATCTCACAGCATAGATCTTTTTACTCCTGGCTTCATGAGAAGGTGAGGTAAGCCAAGGCTGAAAAACAACAAAAACAGGTATTTATAACAAGTCTCAGGACTTCCTAAAGTAAAATGAGTATCTTGGGAACAGAAAATTTTCTTTTATGTAAATTTAATATATGAACCACATGAATATTAATGTATTTGTAAAGAAGGTTTTAGAAGAAAATTCAGCAATGACCAAAAAAAATAAATAAAAAGGTAATCTAATTTTGGCTGAATAAGGGAGAAAATACGAACTGCTTAGAAATAGAATATAGAGAGTAGAGCTGACTTTCTGCGATATGGAAAAGCAGATACTGTGAGAAGGAAGTTCTGAGACCCAAAGTGTCAGCATGGATGACCCTGTGGGTACAGACCCAGCCTCTGTAATGCTAGCCCAACCTTTCCCAGAGCTTGGCTCTGGGAATCTTCTTAATCTTATGCAGGAGGGGCTGTAAATCAATTGGAAAAGAAAGGTAGAAATTATTTTCCCCACCTCTGCATTGTGAGCTTTACTTTTAAGTTTATACTGATCATTATAGCTTAGTAATTCATACTAGTCGTCACAGCTCAGGAGCACTTACTTATGCCAGACACTGGGTGAAGCACTTTGCATGGATTTACTACTTAATGCTCACAGAAACCTTAAGGGGTAGGAACTATTATCAGTCCTATTTTACAAATGAAGAAACAGAGCTTAAGGAGACTGACTTATTTGAGGTCTCAAAGGCAGCCAGGGGCTGTGACTGGATACAAAAGCCTGCCTTCCAACATCTGCATTACCCAGTGGAATCCATCTTTGTGGATCATATAAGCAAATTGAAAGGTTGGGGGGCATTATGGATTGAATTTTGTCCCATTCAATTTCACATGTTGAAGTTCTAACCCTAGTACCTCAGAATATGACCTTTTGGAGATAGGGACTTTACAGAGGTAATCAGGTTACATGAGATCCTTGGGGTGGATCCTAATCTGATGTGACCTGTTGTTCTTATCAAAAGGTTGACATCTGGACACAGAGACACACATTGAGGCAAAATGATGAGAAGGAACACAGGGAGAAGATGACCAGCTGCAAACCCATAGGAGAGGCCTGCAATAGATCCTTCTCTCAGAAGGAAATAATCACCAGCCCCTTGATTTTGGGCTTCCAGCTCCCAGAAAATTATGATAAATGTCTGTTGTTTAAGTCAGTCTGGGTGTGGCACTTTTTTCTGGCAACTCTAGAAAACTAATATAAGGCTTCTTTCATATAGACTAGTTCTATAACAAGATAAGCTCCCCCAATATTATTTTGTATTCTCCTTGTAGGTAGAGAATGATCAAGAAATAGATGTTTTTCCAAGAAATTCAGACAAACTGAAAAGAAAGGTAGTCCAAGGATTTGGGGTTAACAATGTAAGCATCTTAAACTTGCTAATTTAGGGAAAATAAGATTTGATATAGTAGAATTATGTTGTCCCATGCCTTTCAAATAACTTCTTTAACATTAGACATTAGCAAAAATGAATTTTTTCAAAGCAAATGCTTAATTTTTCAAAGCAAATCCTCTGCCCTAAGGACATTTGGACACCCTTGCGGCAGAAAGAAATTAAATTAAACTGAAGTATTTTAATCACAATTAGAAATATGTCCGATGATTCTGGTTCAGATTGCATCAGATGCAGAGTTATTTTGGCTCTAACAATTCAGTGGAAAATTTGGTAACACAATAAAAATAAAAGCTTTCTCCCCAGGGCAGATAAATTAAAATATTTTTTTAATAAGACATACAAAATATTATAACCATAGTTGCAGAGCTGCTTGTATTATTTGCATATAAATAATTTATTTGCATACAAATAAAAGGAGTTATTTATTTTCCCAAAATTTCTCCCTCCTCCCACAGCACTGGACTTGATAAACCATTTGGGTTTTTTTTTTTAAGATGTATTTTTATTTATTTATGCATTCAAGAACTGGGGTCTAGACCATAGGGGTGTGTGTGTGTGTGTGTGTGTGTGTGTGTGTGTGTGTGTGAGAGAGAGAGTGTGTGAGAGTGTGTGAGAGTGTGTGTGTGTGTGTGTAAGAGAGAGAGAGAGAAAGAGAGAGAAAGAGAGAGAGAGAGCGCAGAGCAGGCAGATCTACTGAAATACACTGCTGAGGGGAGCAGCGGGCAAGACAGGAGAGTTCTGCTGTGCCTGTGTGGGTTAAATCCCTCAAACTCATGCAGCAGTGGCTGACATTAGCTTGATAGCACTGAGACTTAATCCCTGTGCCACCAGGGAGGCCCTATACACCATTTTGTTGTGGAAGTCAGGGTCATTCCTAACCACCTTCCTGCCAGACAACCACCTAGCAGCTCATCTGATTTCCTAGTGCTTCCTTAGAAACTCTTATCTATTATTTAATTCTGTTAGTCTAGAGGGGCTTTAGCAAGCAAAAGTTCAGAAGATCAACTGTTTTTTTTTATTTATGTTTATTGTTTGGAAATACTGTAAAGGAAATTCAAAGGCAAATCATACACTGTTACATGTCTTTTTCAAAGGAAACCAGTGGTCATAAGGTATTTTTTTTTTTTTAGTTGTGATTTGAAACTATACAATGGATATACTTAATTACATTTCTGATAGCCATATTGACTAAGGATAGGATATAAGACAAATACTTCACAGACACCTCTTCTGTGGCACCTCTGATTCTCTGGCCTTTGTCTCTCTGGAGTGCAGGAACTCTTCTTCCACTCTAGTTCCTGGATGGCAACGGCATGGCTCAGGTGTAATGGATGGAGTGGAGAGATCATTTATCTCTCTTTTCCACCCCTTGTTGGACTGTTCCAAGAGAAACCTTTCGGTATTGCCTTTCCCGAGAGACTGTGTCTCTTTGTGAAGTGAATGATTTTGTAACACAATGCATATCTTGCATTTGCTTCCTAATCTTACCTGCTTCAGCTCTCTCTTCTATCTCTCACACTGCCCTGGATTACATCTCCCTGTACAGTTCAGAATTTAAGCCTTGCCCCAGGCTCAATTTTCAAGGGAACTTATTCCAGGACAATAAAAGTTTTATAAATGTTTAATCAATTGAAATGAATAAAAAATAAAATATGGGCTAAACGGAGCCTTTTGTTTAATCATTTTCATCTCTCTGTGCTTCCGAAGAACTTGATCTGTGCCTCCTGACCCATTTATCTTGTTGCTGCCTCTGGATTGGTAGGTATGGTGTCTGCAAGGAAATAACTAACAAATCAAAGTCTACTTCATTGATATTAAGTGGTCTATCTAGTGACTCAAAGAAAAGTTACATTTCCAAAAGGCTGATTTATGATTTAATAAGGGAAGCGGAAGTGAATGATTTTGGGCAAGAAGAGAATAGTCCAGACTGGGGGCCTGAGGCCCATATTTTCCTCAGAGACAAACTTTCGTCTAGATAAGTCATGCCATCTTCTCTAGACACCGTCTCTGTTAGAAAAACTCCTATATAAACTCTGGCCTTCATTCTCCTTGAGAAAAACCCTGGAGTACTGCTCTAGTGTCTGTTTAATTTCAAAGAGTTTGTGATGTGTATATGAGACTCGAAAGACTGAAAATGTAAGACTGCTCTGTTAAAAGGACAAGAGAAAAGATGGAATTTTAATTTTTTTAAATTTATTTTTAGTTCATTTTTAGATAAAGTTCTGTTTTTCCTTACATGATTTTTTCTTCATTTTTGGACAGTATTTGATTTCTTCCCACATCACTGTAGTTCTCCCACCACCAAAGCACCCGTGATTCATCACCACAGCCCTTGCTCTCTCCCCTCCCCTGTGATGGCCCCTCTTCTCCCCTCCCCTGCTCTATGCCTCAGGTCTATGGTCAGCCTACAAGCTTTGAAAGACAGACGTTTTCTTTCTCTTTTTAAAATTAAAAAAAATTTTTTTTTAAACCACTCTTGCCTTTAGTAACTGGGAATCATTAGCAATTTCCATAGTAACCAAAGGGAAATTGTTTAAGACATTCAAGATGTTAAAAAAAAAAAAGATATACAGCATCTGTTATTTATTTTAGTGCATGTTGGTACCCAGGGCCAAGACCTTTGTACTCTTGGGAAGAAATGCAGGCATTATTATTATTTTTATTGCCATCACTGTTATTGATAATAAAGAAAATTATCATAGAAATGAAAGTAAGGGGGCACCAGCTATGCTGACCTATATGAAACCTTTTGTAATTTAATGAAAGAAGACAAGAAGAGGCATGTAGAGTACTTCTTTTGTGTGTGTGTGTATATATGAAATTGGGGTCAAGTAACTATATTTGCAGCGAACTTTTTTTAAGGACTGTGTAGACAATCATATCCATAGTAAATCAGGAAAATTATAGTTTTATAGAATTTGGCAACTGAAAAGTATGGGAAAGAAAGCCTGAATAAGGAACTTGAAAAAACCCTGAAAGGTCTGCTTTTATCAAGAAACATGTGGGAGAGATTTATTACAAATCAACTGATCAGACTGTGACTCATCTTCAGGGATGTTCCTGGAACTGGCTATTTGTATCTTACCATCACTGGAGGTAATGCTTGATCTTTTCACTGACCATAAAGATGTTTGAAAAACAGTGACATGAGCTGCACTAGGTCGAGTCCACTGAGACAAGCAGCAGCAACAAATGTATTTAAGTGTTTAGTCCAGCAAGACGTGATGTTCATCTTGCTTTTACTCTACCATAAGGGCAGAAATGAAGCATTCATTCTGGCTAACATAAAGTCTTTGCAAATGAAGAAGACAACAGTGGAAAATAAAGACAGCAAACAGTCAGTCTATCAGTGGGAAAATGAAGAGTTATGGTGTTTTCACTGGTGGAGGTGGAATGGGCAGGATTCATGTGTATGTTCATCACTGTCATTTCCAGCCTGGTGGAAACCCTAGACTGACAGCTGATCTGGGCAGGGATCATGCTCCAAGTTGCAGTTATGTGTTGTTGTCTAAGTGTCATGCATGGAACAGCAATAGACAGCATTAATAAACTTTGGGCTCAGGTAGAGGAAAAAAGAAACAAGAGGAAATGAAATATAAAATTCAACCATCCAACGTAGACATTCATTGAAGACATCCCTTTTGTTGCATTCTGGAAAAAAATACAGTGAGTAATATAACACAGTGGGACCCTAATTAATGTCAATCTCTGGATTAGTGGCAATAGATCTCCTATGGAGTTTTAGAAATACTCTTCCCAGAGGTTCTGATTCAGTAGATATCAGATAGGACTTGGGATCATGTATTTAACAAAATCTCTCTAGCTGTTTCTTACAGCCATTCTCTTTGGAAACTTATCATCTGAACTCTGCTTAAGCACCAACTGTGACACCGAGTTCATTACGTTCTGTTGATGGTTAGCTGAATTGTGATTATAAGTAGCTACATTATTTCAATCCCGAATCTGCATCTTTAAAACATCCAACCATTTTTTTTTTTTGTTCTCTATTAGCTCCTTTTGAAATAATTTAAAGGTCTTAGAGTGAGTCAGTTTGAATTTGTGGTGGACCTGGTCATCGTGGTTTTGATTTTATCCAGCAGCAAAGTTGTGCAGGAGCAGCAAATGTGAATAACAAAGTGACCCAGATTTGGGAATTAGAATGATGGATGATCAACAAATTGAAGGATTTAGAATGCTAGTGAGAGTGACAATGAAATGACCATCTACTTCCTGGCAGACAGTGAAGGCCTTTAGAGCAGGTGTGGACTAGTGATTGAGAGGTGCTAATAGCCAAGGGGGCTAAGGGGGTGCTATGCTGAGAGGGAAAATGCCGTGTGGGCAGGCTGTTGAATAGTTCTTCCACTGATTTCTCAGGACTGCATGTTCTCAATTAGTATTTTCTTGACAAAGGCAGAGTGAGTAGGTTTATGAGGACAGTAGAAAAAAATGAGGGGATTGTTTCTGAAAAAGAACTGACTAGAGACCTTGAAGGTGAGCCATTCTTAGTGATGAGAAAATCCAAATTGTGCCCAAAATGCAATGGAGTTGAAGTGAGTGTGTTGGTTGAGAAATTTTGTGATCAGCAGCATGGATAATTCTGTTATTGAGAACAAAGGGTAAGGTCTGGGGAGACAGAATAGCTGTCTCAGATGCTGAAGTATTTGAGAACAGTGTTTGGAGTGACCGGAGCATGAAACACAAATGTGAAGAGAGCGCATGTGGTGCATGATACTGGCTTTGTCTGTGAGTCTGGGTAAGTCGCACATGCACTCAGGATCTATGCATCCTTCTCAGTGAGCACCCATTTCCTTTCCCTTACAGAACTGTAGGAAGCACATATAGGGATTTTCTGTGTAAATGACACTTTGATAGCTAGAAAATCTCTCAGGGCTGTTCTGGTTTTGAGACCATGCAACACAACTACTCATATACCATATCAATATGATGTGATGTCATCAAATGTACACAAAGATACAATTTCACTTGAAAGAAGAATATCTAAAGCTAGTGCTCTAGCATAATAGCCAAATAACCATTAAACTATGTGACTTTTATCACTGGAATTAATAGGACAAATTTGGGGTAGATGATTTTGTAATATTTCTTTCTTTTTCTTTTTTTCATTTAGTGTATGTTGGCACCTTTGGAAAGGTCCAGAAATCCACATGTTGAACATGAATCTGGGGCTGCCATTGTACATTCCACAACTTGATTCTCTGTAATCAGTTGCTCAGGTAAAAATATGAGACAACTAAATGATCCTCTGATTCTGGCATTGCATTTTCAAATTTATTACAATTAATTATTCTATAACTGTAAGTTCTAGCAGCTGTTATTTTTCTCTAACTTTCCTTTGTCTATCTCTTAAACCAAGGTTCTTTTGACTTGGGAATAGTCACAATTCAGCACTCAATTTAGAGGGACAATACAGTTACATATGTACATGTACAGTTACAAAGATTAGTGTAAGCATCTCTTTTTTTTTTAAAGATTTATTCATTTATGCATACAAGAGCTGGGGTATAAGCCAGAGGTGCAGAGGGTGAGAGGATTCACCAGAGTGGGGAACAGAACAGGCAGACTGACTGAAGTACACTGCTGAGGGGAGCAGTGGGCGAGTCAGAAGAGGTCTGCTGCGCCATATGGGTTGCTCCCTGGCTGGCTGGGGATCGAACTCATGCTGCAGAGGCTGAGGACAGCTTCACAGGTTGTGTTTTAACACCTTGCACCACCAGGGAGACCAGTATTTCTAACGTGGTTTTACTTTCCTCATTATTGCTTCCACTGTGGAATAGAATCTCAAAATCCTACATATATCCAGAGTTGGATTCAGATAAGATTCCTATTAATTAATCTCTTATCCTTCATTTCTTGTACAATTTTTACCAAATAGTCTTTCAGGAGGTTCTCCTCCCTTTTCTTCTTTGGAGTGCGCTTGAGAGAAACTGAAAATCCATTTCTAGGAACCTAGTCCTTGGCAGAGGTAATGTTTATGGCCCAAGAACATACTTTATACATACCAAAGGTTCTTTATTTGACCCCTTCTATATGGTGTTGGTTCTGAGAAGCCAGAGGATGGAAAGAGGAAAAATATTCTTCTGAGAAAGATGAAGTAAGTTTTCCAATGTTTGGAAGGATTTTTATCAGTTTGCAGCTATCTTATGGCTAATGATAAGTACCATGCACATCTATTACAGTAAGATACAAAGAAGCTGACTGCAAGTTATTCCAAACCCTCTTGCTAAAGAAAGAACAAATATAGAGAAATCAGGGTAATCCTGTATCTAGCTAAAGAAACTACTTGGGAGTTAAATTTCCTAGAGCAGATTTGGGAAAAAAGTTGTCAAGTCGTTCTCTGGGTTTCAAATCACAGAATTCAAAGTGGAACAATGTTAATGGTAACTTGCAGAAAAGTAGACTAAACAATGGAAAGACAGTTTTACAAGGCTAGAATGGGAACCTTTTGTATTGTAATACTTTGGTATTTTCCCCCCAGACCTACAATGCTGTAATATGACTATGCCATTTCCTTTCTCTATTTCACTCAAAGTTTTGCCATGTTTTGCATAGTTTGTATATAAATTGTGTGTCCCCCACAAAGGTCTGTTGAAGTCCTACCCCCAATACCTCAGAACATGATCTTATTTGGAGATAGGGTCTTTACAGTGGCAATTGAGTTAAAATGACATCATTAGGGTGGGTCCTAATCAAATATAACAGATGTCCTTATATAAAAGAAATTTGGACACAGAGATAGATCTGCAAGGAATAATGATGCTGTGAACACACACAGAGAACAGATGGCTTGTGAAATGGACACGGAGATTAGAATTATTCTGCCACAAGGCAAGGAGTGCCTGGGCCACCAGAAGCTAGAAGAGAGGGCTAGAATACAACCTCCCCCATAAGTCTTAGAAGAAACCAACCTGCTGACACCTTGATTTTGGACTTCTAGTCTCCAGGACTGTGAGCCAATAAATCTGTTGCTTATGCCACCCAGTTTATGGTACTATGATATGGCAGTCCCAGGGAATTAACACTATGCTTACACCAACCTAGGAACTGTCAGTGTTGCTTCCAAACTTTTGTTGTTTATTAAGAAGCAAATTTCAAACCCTCTAAAATGCCCTTAGCTTATCCTCTACTCATTTTCCTCAGCATAACTATAGATGAGTGACAGTTAAATATGGTCCCATTGGGGGGATTCTCATTTGTTCAGAAAGATTGAACTGTGTCAGTGATGTGAATTGTGATGCAGATTACTTCATGTCAGGAGGGGTAAAACCTTAGACCTTAAGCATCTCGCAGATGAAGGAATATTGACAGATCTTAGCTATGGGAGGGTATTGCAATAATAACCAATTCAAAGTGGAATATTGCTTTTTCTTCAAAGAAGATTCAAACAAAGTCAATAACATGAACCTTTGCATCAGCTAGTCCAAGATGAAATACTAGCCCTGCTATTGACTAATCAAGATTGTCTTGCCTCTAGTGTTCTTGTGTTGGGAAATAACTTAGTGCAGTATCTGTAAGATTTATTCACCTTGTATTTGCACTGATCACATTCATTGAACTGCAGACTGGCACCAAGAACTATATTTTGAAGCCAGCTAGTTCTATGCAGACGGGGTGTGTCAGTCCTTGGAGTGAATCCAGCTATCTGAAATATTAAAGTGTTTCTTTATGATGCTCCAGAGACATTTTCATCATGCTGTATTCTTTGTGATCTGTTGAATCTAACCATTGCATTTGAGTGCTTTTCTAAGATAGGTAGATTCTTTAAGCAAAAAATTACTTGAAAAGCCAGTGTGAATGACTGTCCAAAAATACCCATGTGGACATTTAAGAAATAGAAATAAAAATACAATCATCCCTCAGTATCCAAGAGGATTGGTTTCAGTAAAGTTACAATTAATTCCCTTATAAAATGGGGTAGTATTTGAATATAACCTATGCACATAGTCCTATATATCTCTAGATTATATAGCATTTACATTGTATAAGGTATTATAAGTAAATAGTTGTTATGTCATTTAAGGAATAATAACACAGGGGTGAAGAACTATACATGTTTGGTTTAGATGCAATCATCATAGACTAACTGCATAATACATATTTTAAATTCAGTGGTTCTATTTGCAGATGCAGAACCTGCATATATGGAGGTTCAACTGTGTATCTGGTACAAATGGTAAATGTAAATACTTTGATGTTATGTATGTGTGTATCTGTCCACATACACGTTTTTATTCAAGTCAGTTTATATATACACAGAGAGGACTGGAGCTGTAAAAACTCTTTTGCATTTTCATAGGTACTTTATGCCTTTATAGTCCTTCATCAATTAAATATTGTTAACCACCGTCAGTGCTAGTTGTATCACTGCTACTACCACAGTTACCATTTGGTTGTTATTTATTAAATACCAGGCAGTGTGACATTTGTTTTACCTACACAGTCCCTTTTAATCTCTTTGACAGCCCTATGGCATATTTATCTTTGTCTCCATTTTACAGACTAGGACACTAAGACTGAGAGATATTAAGTAGTTTGGGTAAGAACCTGGAATAGGTAGTGGAGCAGAGATTACAGATGCAGAGTTTTCTGACCCCATGCTTGTGTTCTTACTTTGCAGTTCAGTGTATTGTTTAGTGGGCTGCAACTCAGGGTGCTGTTGGGAGCACAGTACATTCTATGAAAACAGGGCAAGACCCTACTGTGGGAGTGCAATGTGAAGTTGGCAGATATCAGTATAGAACTGACATGTATACCAAGAAGCAGCAGGAGTGCCTCAGGGAACTGAACAGTACAAAAGTGGTGCCAATGTGAGAGCGCCATCCTTAGCACTGAGAATCCAGAGACAAGTAGTACTTTAAATAAAATTAATGAAGTTTCAGTCCCGTAGTGTACATTCCTTGCAGCTGTAGATGAAGACAGAGAACCTTGTGTGATGAGGGCCCAGGTTCAGGAAGTAACTTCCAACATAACAGCATGGGCGATGGGACCTTGTGGCGTGTGCAGAACAGGTGGAGGATGGTGAGCAAACTTGGAGAACTAACAAAGAGGAAATGGGTGAGAACAGAGACGACTTTCTTGGCCACCGTTGGTCAAGAAGGGGAGGTGTAAGTTAACTCAGAAACTCAAATGTAACTGTTTTAAAACCTGGTATGAATTCTTTGACCCTCTTCTTATGGAGAGGTCTGTGTCTCCTCTCCTTGAATCTGGGCAGGCTTATTACTGCTTTGGCCAAACAGTATAATGGAAGTGATGCTATGTCACCGTTAAAGCAAGGTCACAAGTGACCATGTAGCTTCTGGCTTATCACTTTCAAACCCTGAGATTCCAGGTGAAAAGTTTGATTACCATGAGGCTGCCATGCTTGAAAGCTCACACATAGGTGCCTAGAGTTATAGCCATTTGCCATCCCCTATGAAGTGCCAGCCATGTGATTGAGGCCATCAGGCAGCTGAATACAGCAGAGTGACCACTGGCAACACAGATGAATAGATGAATCACCAGGGAAGGCCATCCCAAATTCCTGACAGAAAAAATCATGAGATAAAACAAGGTGGTTGTTGTTTTAAACCACTGGGTTTCAGAATAATTTGTTAAGTAGCAATACATAAATGGACACCCTCAGTATGGAATTAATAGATTATTAAATGTTTCTACTCAATTATTCCTAGTGGAATAATTGCAGGTGGAACTTTGGGATAAGATGTAAAACAACAGTGGTCTCAGAATATATCATTGTGTGGTTTTGTTGAATGACTTTGGTTAGGTGGGAAAGCAGTCAGCTTGGAAAGGGAATGGATCATGAACATGGAGACTCAAGAACTGGGCTAGATCTTTGTGGTTTGGATTCAAGTTTTAGTTTTTCTATTCATGCACTGTTGGAACATTGGGCAAAACTTATTAATACTTGGTGGTAATATCTGCCCAACCTACCACCTAGGAAAGAAAGTAAGGCCTTGAGGGAAAAAAAATGAGCTATTATATATGGAAGCAATTTAAAAATTGTGAAGCACTACAAAAATGTATTGCTTCTCTATTCACTCATAAAGCTTCATTTATACACCATTAAGCATTTATCACATTGGATTCCCAACTCTGCAGGTAGAATAGTGCAAAGGTTATAGTAGGTACTTAATAAATATTGTTGAAATAGAGTCTTGGAATTAACACTAGATAGAGAAGACTGGAGAAATTTTAATTAGAGACTGGAGAAATTTTT